TGAGGACAAACACTACGAGATAGTAAATGAGGGAATTGAAGCACCACACAATTTAAAGTAATCCAGATTCTTCTTGGAAGGTGCAGACTTTTTCCTGTACGACTGCTTGAAGAAAGTGTCTTCTAAAACCTGGCAGTAGGTTTGGGAGTTGATTTTGAGTCCATCTTCAACCCGAAAAGGTCCATCTAGCTCATCTTCGTTAATACCAGCCCACCAGTACCCCACCTCCACCTTGCCGGCGTATGAGTTGAAGTGGAGCTCTGTTCCTGGTCCTGATCCAGCCATGGGCCCATCCATCTGGTCCATCAAGAGTCATTCTCATCTCATCAGTCCATAAAAACTTGTCTTCAGATATTTTTTGGCCCAGTCTTGACATTCCAACTTATCTGTCTTGTTCAGTTGTGGTCGGGTTTCAGCCTCCCTTACCTTGGCCATGTCTCTGACCACTGAACACGTTGTACTTCTGGGCACTCCAGGTAGGTTGCAGTTCTGGAATATGACAGCACCGGAGGATGATGGGTTCCTGGGAGCTTCACGTTTGATTCTTCTCAAGTCTTTGGCAGTTAATTTGCGTCTTTCTTTCTCAAAACGTTTCTTGTGACCCTGTTGACAATTTGCAACAAAAAGTTTGAGGGTTCTTTGATCGCGCCCCAATATCTTAGCAACTTCAAGAGTGCTGCATCCCTCTGAAAGACTTTTACAATTTTTGGCTTTTCAGTCAGTTAAATCTCTTTTTTGGCCCATTTTGCCTGAAGAAAAGAAGCTGCCTAATTATTATGCACACCTTGATATAGGGTGTTGGTCTCCTAAGGCCACACCCTCCCTCATTACACGAATAGACATCACCTGATATGCTGACATCCAATAAGCCTTCAAATTTATACAGCTTGGAGTTGGACAATATGCATAAAAATGGTGATTTGGTCAAAATACTCACTTGCCTAATAATTGTGCACACAGTGTACATTAAAGAACAACATATGTATGATCACAATTCAGCACATGGTAGATGAGAAGCAGTAAAACAGGAAAAACATGCTCTTCTCCCATACTGCAATAGATGTCTCCCTGTTGCACAATATAAGGAAGGCGGATGGCAGACAGACACTTTCCCATGGGGTGTGGACCACATATTTGCTGTTCTTCCATTAAAGCTGGCCATTCAGTATGTAAATTTAATCAAGTAATGGCTGAAATTCGCACAGTGGGCGCCCCTGTCAGCACCCTGTCCTGGCATCCCTTGATCAAAAAAGATTGAAAATCTTCAGGCGAGCAATACTTGCAATCAGCTGCAGGCACCATTCGAGTACTCTGAAATCGGCCAGCGGCTACATCCTTTTTTGGCTGTTGTAATGTTTTAATGGAAAAATACAATGAAAAAAAAACGCTTTTCAAAAAAGAAAGCTCAAACAATCTTATCAGCTTTCTCAGCTATCTCCTGTGGACTACAGGGCCCTCCCACCCTATGTTGTGGAGAAGAAGAGAGAGGAAAGTGACAACGCTGCTCCTCCACAGGCACAGCATGGTAAGCAGGGCCGGATTTACTCTCTCTGCTGCCCCAAGGCCAGTTTCCTCAAGGCGCCCCCCTAATTGCCACCCCTCCCCCCGCCTGAAGAATGGCAGACCTGCAGGCTGCATACAAGTGATCTCGGCAACATCACTGAGTTCACTTGTACAAATCAAGTGACAGTTTCCCCCCTGGAAATTTAGACCTGCTTGCCCAAAGCAGGGCTAAATGTAGAAAACAACTACCCGCCCGGTGCCCGGAACTGTATGTCCCAGGCATTAGACATGTGCGATTCGTTTAGTTACGAATCGAAATTTGTACGAATTTTCCTAAAATTCCGAATTTCGGAGCATCCGAAATCCGAATGGCAGTTTCCGAATTATATCCGAAATACGAAATTCCGTTAACGAATTTCGGATCCGAATTTCTTTGAAACAGGAACTAATATTACCCCTGTAAAATGTAAATGAGGTTGAACAACATGACAAGATTTTTTTTTTTAATCCGAGATACGGATCCGCTGCTGCTGATGCATTACAATACACAGTTATACACACACAGGCAGGAAATACGAAATTCCGTTGACGTATTTTCGTTCCGTTACGAACATTCGTTATATTGAAGGTAAAAAGCAAAGTACATTTATATTAGAGTTGATGGTAGTTTTTTTTAAAGTCCGAAATACGGAATTCGCAATCCGTTAACGGAATTCGTATTTCGGATAAAAAAAAGAACTACCACTCCAATATTAACAAAAGTATTTTGCTTTTTAACTTCATCATAACGAATGTTCGTAAAGTTACGAAAATATAACCGCCACTAACGAAAATTCGTATTTCGTACGAATCCGAATTGAGTTCAGTTACGAATTACGAAATAACGGATATTCCGAAACGAAGCGAAACAGAACTAATTTTTTGACGGCGCACAAGTCTACCAGGCATCGAGAGATAGGAGTTCCACACCCCTGCGACCCCTCTACTTCCTGCTGCCCCAAGGCCGGGCCTTGGTTGGCCTTGTGGGAAATCCGGCCCTGATGGCAAGTGAGCGTTGTCACCCTAGAACAGCCCTAGAAATATTGTGGTATCGGCAGAATCACCAGGTGAAAGTATATGAAAAAATATGTCTAAAAAGGACATATTACATATCACCGCGAACGTCGGAGTGCGAGCAATCATTTTAGGGCCATCAATCACTGATAGCACTAAACTGATGAGCAGTAAAAGCTTTTAAAGCGTCACCTATGGTCAATTTTGGGTGTGGTAGTTCTTTGCGATTTTGCGGGCACGTGCAATTTTAGGGTTTAACATGTTTCGTGTCTATTTACCCAACGTGACCCCGTCTTTTATATTTTACCAAAAAATTGGGGTGATAATAAATGTTTCATAACATAACGCAGGGAAACAGGTTTTTTCTCCGATCCCTTTTTGTGATATAGTAAAAAATAAAAGCCCCCGGTGGTGATTAAATACCACCAAAAGAAAGCTCTATCTGTCCCCAAAAAAATGGTATAAAATTCATTTCAGTACAGCGCTGCATAAAGGAATAAATGTCAAAGTACCTCAGCGCTGAATACTGAAAAATGGCCTGGACAGGAAGGGGGTTTAACACCCCGGTCTTCAAGTGATTAAATAATGCATTAAACTTAAAATTAACCCATTAGATTTAGTCGACAAAAACTATTTAGATGACTAAAATACGATCAAAACTAAAACTAAATTGAAATTTGCCTTCAAAATCAACACTGCTGGCAGTCAATGGGCCACCGAGTCTATTTGGGTATTGGCTGCTGTCAGAATACAATGCAAACCGCGGGATTCCTCGATCGACACACTCGCAGTGTTGATGGAGAATACAACTCTTTTTTTTTCATCCAGCCCGCGGGTTAAACAAGAAAAATAGAGCAGTGTATGGCCAGCCTTAGGCATGACTCCCACAGGCAGAATCATGATGGGATTTGTTGTTTCAGCCCATCTGGAGTGCCGAGGTTGCCTACCTCTGATCTATACAGAATTTTTGGGATTGCTTCTTTGGGACTCTTTGCTCTTTATATGCTGTACTGAAGGCTGTGGCACACTGTAAGTGAAGCAACGCGGAGCGATGGTGCGCGGATCTTCGCGTGCAGTGTGTCATGTCATTTTCACTCCAGCACATCAGCTTGGGAGAGCTCGCATATGTGAAAGTTGTGAAGAACAGGTCCCGCTGGTGATCACTCCTCCGGAGAGGTGGGATTGGTTTCAATGCTAGTGTGCTGCTCCTGGCGTGTGTGGACCGGGGTGTCCGACGTTTGTGCTAGAGAGGAAACAAAAAGGAGGAAGAAGAGCAGATAGAGGAGGGTGGAGCGGAAAGGTGAGGAATACTGTATGTGAGATAATTATACTCACTACTGTAATGGGGTGGATCAGAGCTTTGGTGTTGGAGAACTCTTTTAGGTGGTGTGATGCTTGCTATATCGACCTTCCAGTGAGGACTTCCGATGCGGTGATGTGGAGATCAACAATTGGATAAATAACGACAGGGTGAGTGATCTGGTATACAGCACAGCCTGCTGTGTACACCAGATCACTCACCCTGCCATGATTTATCCAATTGTTGATCTCCACGTCCCCGCTTTGGAAGTCCTCGTATAGCTGAGCATGCCGAGATAAAAAATTTCATCTCCAGCCGATGCGAAGTCCATTCAGTTGTTACGCGCGAGGCAATTGGCTGAAGATGCAGTATTTCATCTGGCCGCGCTCAGCTCACACACTGCATGCGAACCTACGTGCCTGACAGCTTTGCATGCAGTGTGCCACGGGCTTTAGGCTCCTTTCACACTAATGCACATGCAGTAAAGACTGCAGTGATGAAGCATGAAGACTGAGCCTCCTGTCGTCCGTCAAGGCAAAAGTAACTGAAAGTGAAAGCAAACTGTGTCCATCCAACAATTATATATATGCAGCAACGGTCTCTCTGTTATTTTACTAATGCTACCAGATTGAATTAGTCGCTGCACTTCACTCATAAAAAAAATTGATGAATGTAAACAATTTGTATTCTGGTTTACTAGATCTCTAATGATTCGTTCACCGTTGCCTATTACAGGCAGAAGGAGTTTTGAAACTCAGGGAGGGAGGGGGAGAGTTGGGAGTTGACATGCTCAGTTCACAATTCTCACCAACTTCCTGCTTTTAAAGAGTGTGTACAACTTAACGGTGGACACGAACAGATCTTCTTCCGAGCCAACAAAGATTAAGAAGGTATGTTGGGAAACCTTTTATACATAATATAACGCCTTTTACAAATATTTTCGCTTTGTTTACCAAAATAGTTACATTGGTAAACTTTCACTACGCTTTAAAAATAAGTAAAAGTATGAAGCAGAAGCTAGCTGAGTAAAATGAAAGTGATACATAAAGACAATTTATTCCAATCTGTTTTCCAGATTAAGGAGACCCAGGCCAATCTTCATCCACCATTAACCGAAAACATTGACAGATAGACAAGAGAAGGAAATGGATAACTTCAATATCTTGCTGCTAAGAATATCAGGAAAGCTGAGCGAAACGGATCTAAGTAACATGAAGTTTCTTTGCCAGGATAAGATACCTAGAAAAAAAATGGAAACCATTATGATTCCGACGGATCTATTCACAAAGCTCATGGAGTTAACAGAGCTCTCGAAAGACAATCTCGATTTCCTGATTCAGCTTTTACAGCATGCACACAGACATGATCTCGCAGAAGAAGTGAAAGGATTTCAGATGCCGCTTTCCAGAGAGGAAGTTTCTGTGGACGAAGAATCAGATGAAGGTAAAAATTTTGTTGGGGGAGATAGGAGTACTGAAAAGGATGGTATTGGGATACTATTTGGATCTTTCTAAACTGCAACTGTGTGTATAATTCTAGGAAGTAATTGAAAATGGTATTTGTATGGGTTCTGCTAAAATTCCAGGTTCAAAGTACTAGTGTGCCAGTGATGGTGTCATAGGGGCATTCCCAGCACACTATGGTGATGAAAAGGGTGCCAGTTATGTACGACCAACTTTTAATTGGCCATTATTGCACAGACATGCTTGGTTGTACAGTACTTCCTATCAGGTCTAGTTTAATGACATCCAGACTGAGGCTTCCCGCCTAAGCCTTAAATCCAAGAATCCATAGAAAACTGCCATTCCAAACAGGATCAGACCAAAAATATCAATTTATTCCCATAAGGCCATATAAACAGTCAATAACAAAAACGTATGATGTGTTTCGGCCCCAGAATTGAGCTTTAGTCATAGCCAAGACATACAGACTTATACCTTATAGATCATGTAGAAGTGCTTTAATGATTGGGGTGGGGGGGATACAAAAATCACTAGAACCTGTTTGCCTGGGACATGCTTGCCGGGGTTGTTGTTAGTCTTACTCTGGATCAAACTCATAAAACCAAAGCTAGCAGATTTCTCCATCCAGCGATGGCCGAATCTTCCCTTGGATGTAAGCAGATGTATCAGTTTACATCAAATTACCCCGATCCATCGCGATCGGAGGTCCGCCAAAAAGGTTTGGTCTTCCGGACCTGGAGGTAATCGGATGTAAACGGATGCACGTCCTTTTAGATACAGCTGCCCATAGACTAACATTGAGTTTCCAATCAGATCCACCCAGGGGGGTCCCTAGCCTTTTTTCTGCTTCAGGCGGGGGGTGGGGGTGCACATTCGGGGAGAGGGATGGATGGGTGTGCTGGTGGTGAACTCTTATGTGGGGCATGGGAGCGGGTGGATCATCTCACTGCCCAGCTCTGGCTAGTGTCCCACCCAGCTCTCTGACATCATTGGTTACCAGGAGCTGGGCGGGATGCTGGTCAGAAGGTCCCGCTCAACTCCTAACAACCAGTGACATCACTGATTGCCAAGAGCTGGGTGGGGAGATGTGTATGGCCCTTACACATCTCCCTGCCTGGCTCTTAGCAACCTGGAATGCTCTGCCTGCCGCCCCTCCATGTAACCCAAAGAGATGCTGCCCGAGGTAACAGCATCAGGCTGCCTTATTATAGGGATGGCCCTGGATCCACCTGAAAAACTGATAGGCGGACCTACCTGTCTACAAGGGGCCTTACAAGTAGCCCTTTTTTTTCTAGGGCATAGGAGAGTTTGCCTTTATTATTACCCTCCAATCAGTCAGTGTTGTAATAAGAAAAGAAACGTCATGTGCATTCTTTTAGTTTATGACTATGGGTATGGCTGTAATTTTATTCTCACTCTGTTAAGACATCTTGCATTATAAAACATTATTTGCCTTTGTTTATAAAGGTTATATCAATTTGTAAGCTTGGTGTTTTCCTTTAACAAATCTCCTTTTTCCTTCTCCCACAGACCAGCTTGGCCAGGCATTTGACATTATCTGTGAAAATGTTGGGAAGGATTGGAAGATGCTGATACGCACTCTTGGCATTACCGATAGCACAATAGAGCAAGTAGCCTATGCTAACCCATATAACATGAAGGAACAAATAAGGCAATGTCTTCGGGAATGGAAGAAAAAGAAGAGAGAGAATGCAAACGTGTCTGTCCTGATAAAAGCACTGGAAAACTGCAGAATGAAGCTGGTGGCAGATAAATTATCAGATAAACTAAATCTTAGTCATGGAGAATCATAGAAATGACCCTGGAAACAAATTCTGAGATATCTATGTATGAAATATTTTTTGGTGTTTTAGGAAAAGTGCCATTAAGGCAAACCGTTTGTTGGAGAATGCTCTACAGTCAGCACAACTGTGCAAAGCAGGCACCATGAGGTAGCAGTACGTACGGTCAACTTGTCAGACTTCAGCACCAGAGTTAATCAGGAGTCCCCTAACACAGGGCATGCACAGCATACAATTACTTTGCTGTTTGGACCCCCCACATCACACAAAAACCTATCAAAGGGTGAGTGCACAGACCTGATGGATTCAGGGAGCAAGAGCTCCAATTTGCATCAAAGTTGGCATGCTGTGTGCACCCCAGGTTTTAGGATTCCTGCGACATGCTGTAACTTATGTTTAACAAGTGGGGGTTATGTACTACCAACTTTTGGTGATCGCTTTTGCACGGACATGCTTGGCTGTACAGAACTCCCTAGGTCTACTTTAATGACATACAGAGTAAGGCTGGATTCATACGGGGCGGTCTGGCATCTCTGCAGGAAGAACCTGTGGATTCTTGCAGCAGGAATCCCAAGTGTCTACATTCAAGTAAATGACAGGGTGACAGCAGCTGCATCTGTCACTGGCAGTCTGCATGTAATCATACATGGTACAATTACATGAAGTTTGGGATAGATGATTGTCCCACACCAATAATCTATCCCAAGCCTCAAATCCCAAACCACATGTAATCATACCGGGTACGATGACAGATGGGGCCGCTGTCACCCTGCACCTTACTTCAATGGGCACAGCTGCCGCACCTAAACAGGGACACCTTGGAATCCTGCCACAGGAATCCGTAGGGTCTTGCCGCAGGGATCCCAGAAGGCAGCATGTACCCCTAATGTGAATGCGGCCTAAAAGTCTATGCGTAGAAGTGTTTCAATGACTGGAGGAAAAGATAAACAAATCACAGATTAGAATATGCCTGGGATAGGAGTTGTTATGTTTGTCTTCCTCTGGCACAAATCCATAAAACTAAAGCCAACAGATTTCTCAATTAATGCTAGAAAGCGTAGGTGGACAAATCTTGCCTGCAGAGCTACTGTCTTCTGACAGCTGCTGTCAGAATACCTGAACCGGGACTGTAGTGATTGGCTGCAGTCACTGTGCAGCCAACAATTTTCCATCCGGCTCCTTCAACAACAGTCAACTAAGTAACTTTTCTAGAGCCGGTGTTCTGTTGACTCTGTTAGATTTGCTGACCTCAGCATCTGCGCATGCCTCACAGACCGGGATTAACGAAACAGGAGGTTATTTACATAGTATTTATTTGTAATTGTTAATTATTCACATTATTATGTAATTGCTTACAATATTAATTGTGGATGTGCATAAAATTCCATCAAACTTTTACTGCCATGGATAGCATATTATTATTGGTCACAATTAACCATTAAAACTAGGGATGCAACGATACCGGTATCGAGTACCGATATTTTTTTTCAGTACTCGCAGATACCGAAAGTCCCATTAAGGAAGCCAGGTGGCGTGTAATGACTCGCCACTTGGCTTCCTGATTAGCAGGAAAGCCGTCCCCATGCTTCTCGTCACTAGGTGAAAGTCCCATGACAAGGTGACGTGAAAGCTTGGAGCCAGCTTTCTGGCCAATCAGGAAGACGGACGTAGTGTAATGACACAGCGCCCAGCTTCATGATTGGCTGGGAAGCTGGCTCCATGCTCCTTCTTCATGAGTTGACGAGGGAGTATGAAGCCGGCTTCCCAGCCAATCAGACACCTGTCCCTGTCATTACACAGCGCCCGGCTTCCCGATTGGCCAACTTTTCGATCAATCAGGAAGTCGAGCAGCGAGTCATTGCACGCTGCCCGGCTTCCTGATTGGCCAGGAAGCCAGCATTGCTCCCCGGCTTCCTGATTGGCCGAAAAGCCGGCACAATGCCCCCCGTCACAAGATGCTAAGGTCGGCAAATCAGACGGGGTTGGAATTCTCGACAGAACACCGGCAGGGCGACCCACAGAATTTCAGAAGATTCCTGTAAATCAACCAAAATTCTAACGGTGTATGGCCAGCTTAACACAGAGGTTGATCTTGATGGACCTGCATCTATTTTCAACATTATCACTATGTACCTATGTAGAAACAAATGACAACATTGACTCCTTAATGCCTGTTTTCATTGTGCAGTGGCTGTTTATCATATTTATACATCACTCTAATTTATTGTGAATAACTTGGTGGCCCTTTTGTTCTTTGTAAAATATAGATGAATTAAATACTCGTGGATGTCCATAAAGCTGATGTGTAAAATACCTGGTAACACCTCGAAAGTCCAAAAATATTCGTGGCTACTGCCGTCGTAATGGGCTGATGTAAAGGGAAAACTTTAGATAGGATTGTGAAGGGAAGCTTCACCCCTCTGTCTGTCCAGGTGACCAATGTCCTTGAGTCATCACGTCTTATACTCCGTGTATAGGACATGAGGATACCAAGGAACATACCATCGCTGGAGTTGAGAAGAAGGCAAGCTGGAGGCGGCCGGATCTAGACTTCGGATGAGAATCACTTTGTTATTTTTTGAACCTAGACACAAAGGAGCATTTAACCCTTGCAGGATGTCAACAAACACAGGAGGCCATAAGGGTTGGCTCAAGCTAAGTATTCATCTGTAGAACGGGAGGGTGGAATCTGTTAGGTCAGGGGGCAAAAAAAAGTGCACTTTATCTGATAGTACTGGAGCTGTGAACCACAATGTGAGACCAGTGTTTAATAGAAGACACTATAAAGTTCATCATCATAGTTGTATAACTTTCCCTGCGTAGAGTCCCAAATAGCAAGGATAACTTGCCACCAACTTGTGTCAGGGTTAAATTGTAATTCTTGTTAACGTGCTGCACATATTCCTGGCAAGTTGTAGACTTGCAGAACACTTGCAGCACAAGTTCTAGTTGACGCTTTTTGAATTAGTAGCAAATTTGCTTGGCAAGTCTACAGCAAGAGTCCTGCAGGTCTTATCAGGAGCTCTGCAAGTGTACAGCACTTTTGCGAAGCACGTTGATCTGGAGACTTGCAATGCTGACTTGCTGTAATTGTGCAACAAAATTGTGAAGCTTGGCAAGTCTAGCAATAGTTTAGCAAGTCATTTTCAAACTTTCAGCTCAATTGCTTGCTATCTGGGTTGCTGTCAGGCCGCCAAATATGATATGGCATTTGTGTAGGCTTTGAACCATTCCGCCACCCCAATGTACATTGATCAGGCATAGTGACTGGCTGCTTGGACACCAATCTCTACCTTGCTGGAAAAAGCATTCACCTTCTGCCCATGGCTAAGGTTTTCATGCTAGCCTTTTCATACGTCGTGTGTCTTCTATTCAAGCTGAATTCCAGACGGATATAAAAGACACAAATTATTGCACCTGTATTAAATAATACATCATGAAATATATATATATAAGAGCAAAGCTGCCCATACACTGATCGTTTTTGTATCATGCGGCCGGCAGGCTAAACAGTGCGGATGGACAAATCTCCTGCTACGACACTGTCAGAATACCTGAACAGTGACTGCCGTGGATTGGTTGCATTTTCTATTGTCGACACGCCAAGGCCATCAACTTTTGTTGACATGCCAAGGCCATCCATTGTAGGCATGTTAAACGTCTGAGATCACAACAATGTATGACCGGCCTTGGAAATGAATTCTTCTATTTATCTGCTTTACTAACAATGCTAGTCATGTTTCCAGGGCATTATTCTTATAATGATTATGTATTAATAAGAAGGACTCCACTGTAAGTAAGTGGTCTGTATGATTTTCATTTTTGCAGTATTGCAATATAATACTGCACTATTTCCAGATTAGGGTATTAATATAAAAAAACAAACAATAGAAGGGGTGCAAAACCATATCTCAAGTACAAGTATAGGAAATAGAAAGCCAATTATGAACCTGGGTGATGAGCAGTAAGACCTTGTTTATTCACATTCATGTGAATAACTCACTTGGGACACTAAGGAGGTAAGCTAGAGCTAATTTTCCAAAGCTAATGAAGCGCCAAACATTATATTTAACGGTAAGTACCTGAATTTGACTTGCTATCAGTCTCAGTAATCCGTTGTACAGCAGAGCTCAGCATGGGAGAGGGAGGCAGGAAGCTCTAGCTGCCTGTATTCATTTCATGATGTCCTTTAACATGTGTCAGCACAGCGAGTGGGCCTTAACATTGGCTGTAAGCATGTGTCAGCCTGCTTGTTGTTCTGTGCTGGAAGCGAGGAAACTCCTTACTGGCACGCTCCCAGCACAGTGACCGAGCTGTCGTTGACAGCTCCCGGTCACTGTTTAAGTTCGGAACCCAGTAGAATGAGCTCCCAATTATGTGACCACTGAGTTAGTCCTTAAAGCTATGTTCACATGGCCTGCGGATGGTGTTTAAATCTTCCATTGCACTCCGAAGAGGTAAAAAGAACCGAATAGTTAAAACCAGAACAAATGCTGAATGCAATACTCAGGTCAACACTCAAGCTGCCCCGTGAAGAAAGATGTATGTGGTTAGCTCAGTACGTGCTTTCAAGCCTGGCACAGCTGTAAACACAAGCCAAGCTCCCCCTTGTGTGAATGAGACTTACAGTGACAACTCTTTCTCTTTCAGTCACACAAATGCAATTCACATTGCCTGATACATAGATGAGTGCGAGAGGTAAGGTATATGAAATGCAATAATCAAAGTAAGCAAATAAAAATGTACAATTATAAATGTATTGCCTGCTCAGTGAAAATTCTGTTTAATTTCCCTTTAAAATAAAGACAATAAAGAAATGCAAAGCAAACACAACAGAAGTCAGAGGCTTCATATGACTGAAAACAAACAAGGACCATGCAAAGTGAAATGTAGACTGAGGTATCGCCACCAGAGGGCAGTAGAAAACCAGATTTAGAATTGATTCACTGAACACACTTGCAACAGACTGCAAATAATGTATATATGCCTTGAGGCATTTAAGCCCCGGGGTATGCAGACTTCAGTGTAAATCAGGAGAAATGCTGCTCGAGGGGTTTTCCTTGAATTTTATGACTCT